CAGAATGGAATTTTTCAAAATAATTTTGGCATTGCCTTTCTTTAAGGGCTTTATCACCATACACATCACGTATCTTTTTTGCGGCTTGCCTTGCGTTTTTTCCTTTACGGAAATAATAAAGCAAGATATTGCGAAAATGTTCATTTTTGCACTCCATATTAATATTGAAATAAAGAAAGAACATTAAGATAATATCTACGCAATGATTTTATAACGTTAAGTAAAGATTACAGATAACGTATATAATAATAAAAAAATCATAACATTAACGAGTATTATAAAAATGGGAGTGAAACATCTATAATCAAAATCCGAAATTACTTTCCTGCCAATCCAATATATACATACGTATACGTAATTGAATTTTACGAAGGACAACGAGTTATTAAGAAACGAAATAAAATATAAAAACACTTTCGACCTTCTCCTGGGAATGATCGATCGGATCAATGTCCTTTTCGAATACGAACAAATACTTTTTTTTTTATCTACAATATCTACCTACCAACCAACCTACCTTATAAACTTTTCGAATAGCTCAGGTATCTTCTTCCTACGAGTATATGTAAAAGAAAGAGAGATAAGAAAAAAGAAGAAGAAAAAAAACCAAAGAAGAAATAGAAAATGAAAAAAAGACATTTAACCACTCTTGACACACATACGGAGGCGTATTATGATGCTGGTCTATACCAATACTGCTTCTTCTTTTTCTTTTGACCGTTGTATTATTTATTACACAGTACACCGTTATATTCGTGTTATGCGTCACGTTATGCTATCGAAAGAAAAAAAGACAGAGAAGGAAAAAAAAGGGGTGGATGGGGGGGGGGGGGGGACTTTCGGTTGTTTGATACTAAATAAATATTTAGGTCAGAGATGACATCAGCATAAATAACTGTGTGTGATAAAATTAATCGGATTTGTCGATAAATTACGCGCGTCTGAAATCTGACGTATAATAGAGTAATTTAAAAAAAAAACACAAGAAGTCGTGTGATATTAGTTAATTCGATTTAAAGTTAAAAATTGCGTCTTAAAAATGATCGGATAATAAAGAAGACGTATTATTAAAACGCACATTTTAAAATTTTATTGGAAAAGAAATGAAATAATGCGACTAAGATCGGTCAGACAAATTTACTTATGTTTACGTGCACGATGCGATATCAGTAAAAATTGCGCCATCAGAACTGTTTTGATCATTTTCATTGTAAAAATTAGGATTTCAAAGATGCAACTCGTTTTCGTTCGACTGATCGTCGGAAAAGTTGAAATATAAAATTATGGAAACAATTAAACAGTCATAATTAAACGCGAAATAATGTTTTTCATCGTTTTAAGTATACACACAGGATATATATACAAGATAAGAAAAATGATTATTTAAATGTTGCATTAAGATACGAAGTAACTTTATACCCGACCCAATATATTATCTAAAGGTAAGGAAAAATAGTAGAAGTAGGAGGAAAAGAGTGGGTGAATGAGATAGAGAGAGAGAGAGAGAGAGAAAGAAAGAAAAAGAAAAGTATATGTGTGTGCATAAGCGCGTCGTGACAAGGAAGAATCATCGAGTATAGAGGTCGTAAAGAATAAAAACGGAGTAAAGGAGGACTTTCTCCTTTTGCAATGGTAGAATAGTATCGGGGAATGAGATGAATATAATGGATACCTCGTAGAATAGAAGAGAGATGAAAAGACCGTAGCGAATACCAACCGAGGATAGCTGCAATTAGATGCAATGCTTCGCTAACTCCTCTACCTATTCCTATTGCCGAGACCATTGAAAAATATTATTCGACCTTTGATACCCCCCGTAACCAATGATCGCGACCTCCGGTATAAAATACTGGAACAAAAAATAAGATCAAATCGATGATTGCATTCAATTTTTTTGTTTCAATTCTGTTTCGTTAACTCTTTCAAATTCTTCTCGGTGTTGGTGTCGGTGATGCATTCAAAAGAGTAAAACTCCTGAAAACAAAAACATACATTTATATTCATGATTATGATAGAAACGTATATTGTTCTTTTTCTCTCTCTCTCTAATCTTCTAAAATCGTGATATAATATTAAAGAATAATTCAATTTAATGATAATTAAATCTCAATTTAGAAATTTATTTTATTTCTCCCATGACGATGACTTTCAACAAATTTTCTATTAATTAATGCCAACAAATTTCTCTCTCCTATCAATAAAAATAAACCCTAAGTGGTATAATATTATTTTTATTTAAAATTTGTGCGATTACTTAATATTTTATATTTAAATAAATTAGAGAGACGTATTTTTATATTCGAAATCTCGTACGAGGATACGTTTTTAAAGACAATTTCTAATTTGATTTGAAAGCGAAATGACATTGGTAAAAAATAATATGCTCATTCTCTCTCTCTCTCTCTCTCTCACTCTCTATTTGTTTTACTCGTGTGACATATCAAGAAGAAATGAGAGAGAGAGAGAGATTACTTACATGGGTGCGAAACTATTACATCGTTCATTCGTTAAGAAGACGCTTCTCGAATTAACGGTACGTGATCTGTGTTCTATTACAAAGACGTTTCTAGTTAAAATACTTCTCGAACGAGGTTGAGAACAAGTAAAGGTAACAAGAAGTGAGATCCAAAAAACTCTCATCGTGATTCGATGTTTTTATTATCATGTAGAGTATAGATAATAAGAGAAGAGTGTCTCGTTAAAAAGAACTCGATTGAAAATAATACAAGAATTTTTGCAATTTGTATAAATAAATGTTAACAAGAGTTATTCGTAGATTTTTATATTAATATAATTTCCCATTAATATTTGATATCTAAATAAATAACGTATTGTGTATAAAAGTATTGTGAATTTTATTTATTAAATGTATTTTTAGCGAAACATTTGTTAATATTTTCTATATTTAAATAAATATCGAAGAAAATATTTTTGTCCGTATTTTTGATATTACTCGAATATATTTTACATTAATCTGAATAAATCAAATGTATACGTATTATTTTGATAATTCTTAAATTCCGTACAATCATAGTACTTGTGTTGGCTAATACGAATGTATTTCTTTTTTTCTTTATTTTCTTTCCTTTTCATTTTTATTTAGTTAATTTTCTTTCCTATTCGATAGATAATTAAAGTAAAGCTTACGAAATAGTCCATAATCTCGTATACTCGTCGAACAACGTCGAGTTTAACAGAAACTAGTGATATAATCCTTTCTGACCGCGGATAATACGTTAAACATGGAAAACATCATCGTAAGAATACATTAATTTCAAGGCTTTATAACTCGAAGCTAAGAGTACTTTATAATAGTTCTTCCTAGCATCGTTTAATTACGCATCTACCGTATCGTTTTGTATCTTCTTCGTATAGATAACTATCGCGAACATAACCGCATAAGATCGCTTTGTTAAATTATCTTAACTCTTCCTTCTTCTTCTTCTTCTTCCTTTTTTTTTTCGATTACGTGTTGCCGATCGTTTGGAAATCATCGATGCATTGTGTTTACATTGGTAGTTAATAATCCATTTGTAGACAATCTTATCTTCGAAAAGCTTTTGTTGTCAAAAGAAAAAAAGAAACATACAAATTGAAACGTAGTAATTCATTGCGAAAATATTTAGAGTGAATCAAAAGTTGGTGCGCTATTTTTTTCTTTATTATTAATATTTCACTTGTATATAAAAAGTAATTTTATTGGCTATCAAAATATTGCACTATATCTGAAACAACATAATAAACGCACGAACTTGTGGTTCACCCTAATATTCGAAATCTTGAAATCATTTAACATTTTAGTATTATTTTTTATTCATGAGAAATAAATGAAAAGTGAATCTTTACCTACTGTCATGAAATTAATTCTCAATGTATATATAATATATACATACATACATATATACATGCACAAAGTCCACCACCAAGAGAAACACGCGACAACTTAGCGTTTTTGTCCTCGAAGTTTTGCTTACAGGAAAACGTTTCGTGTGTTCAGATAATTAAAGTAACTTTATCTCGGATATATCTGTAATATTTCACTCTTATCTTTATACTCGTTTGAATATAGATACGCGCGACATTAATCTTTTTAACAACTTTAAAGAATTATGCCAATTTTAGTTGTCTATGATCTGTCGTAAATGAAAAGAACGAATTCTTTTTTTAAGGATAAAAAATAAAAATGGATTAAAAAAAAATAATAATTTTTTAAATTTAATAATATTTATTATATCACGATGTGTGTGTGTGTGTGTGTGTATAATTATAATTCTCTCGTACGTCAAGGTTTAATATAAACATTAATTATGATAATTATAGCGTAGTGTACTCTATTTCAATTAAAAAGATTGAAATGAAATTAAATGTATTTGTTTATCCATATAATTCAAACGAATAATATCGAGTTGATGGCAGTAATATAGTAATGGTGTGTGATAATATAGTAAAAGGATATTAATAATATTATAACTTGTGTATCACACTTAGCAGCCTTCGATTTTCTATATCCGTGATACATACATGTTATACCTAAATAACATTGTTTTGATCTCGAATAAAATCACATTTCGAGTATGTTGCGATATTTAATCTTGAAACTTGGATTAACAAACAAATCAACGATTATCGTAAAATAATAATAGTTGTAATAGAATTAACGAGTACGAGAGAACATATGAAGATTTTCGATGGAATAATAATTAACACTGTTACAAATCCCAACGACGAAAATTCTCGTCTCGCGTCGATGACAAATCTTTTATAACTAAATATATAAAAAAAAAGGATAATATAGAAAAAGTATAAAAAAAAAAAAAAANAAAAAAACTAATTCGTCTTCAGTCGTTGTTGCTGTTGGCTTTTTTCTGTTTAAATGAAATAATAATAAAAAAAAAAAAAAAAAAAAAAAGATATCACATTTTCCCCATCAATTTTGTCCGTCCGAAATAATATCGCGTTGTTATTAAATGTCAGTTAGATAATGGCAGTCGTAATATAATTCACTTTCTCAGATTATCTTCCTGAGGATGAGCAGCGATATAATCTAGAGCCCTCAAGATTGCTTGCGGTACAGGTGGAGCAGTTGGTAAATGGTCTCCTTGAGGTTGGAATCCATTTTCATCGGCTACGTAATTCAATGAAATTTGCGAGCCATCCAATGCTGGATATTGGTATGATCCTTGGACGTAAAGAGTATATTCGTTTTCAGGATCATTTTGTGAACTCTTCCTTGGTTCGCCTTTTTCTTCAACGCGAATACCATTTCCTGTTTCATAGTTAAACGAATAAGAACCGTCCGCTTCGGGTCCGTTTGAATTGTAATAATTAATTGGTACTTCTTTTTCTTGTACTGGGGCACTCATGGCTACTGCCACGATGACAGCGATAATGGTTACTTGCTGTAAAATCATTTTATTTATTAGTAATCAATGATAATAATATGATCAACGATATTTTGTCGAAATTTAATCGATTAATCCGATTCGATAAAAGATATTTATTTTATTCGTAATATATAAATTCATTTCCATTCCGTCGAATATCAAAGTGTCGATGAGAAACAACACATTTTATATCTCTTTTTATTATTATTATTATTATTATTATTATTACGATTAAATTATTCCACAATATTTTTTTTCTCCTCCGTTTCGGGTTGTTCGAATATTTCGAAAAGATAGTCCCACGGGGAAACTAGTTTTCGATAAAAATAATAATTAAAAAGAAATATCTTTTATGAATATTGATGAGACGATTTGAAAAAAAAAAAGAAAAAATTAAAGGAAAAATTAGTTGTTATTTCATGGAATTTAAGATATAATGTAATCGCGATGAGATTAAATTTATTATTATTATTATTATTATTACCGAACATATATATATTGAACTTTTTTATGGGACTTACCAAAGCGTGCATGTTGACTATGGTTGTTGTGTCTCGTTATTACTATCGTCCCGGTGAAAACGCGCTTTTATACCAATATCCCTGCCGAAATTTCGAAGGATTCGAGGACCTCTCCCTCTCATTGATAGATTTCTACCTGATGATTTGACACTGGACAATGTTACGACATTTTCGACAAAATCGATGAAGAGGGGCTATCCTAACGTCCTCCGCCAACCACAATAAAGCGTTCTTCTCTCTTATTGGTCCTAACCTTTCCTCTTTACACAAATTTAATTCATTTCATTCGATAACATTCGTCAATTTCATTCATCTTCATTTTCATTTTTCTCTCTCTCTCTCTCTCTCTACAGTTACTTCATTCTCATATACGTATCCTCACATACGCATATTTCATGAAAAAGAAAGAAACAAAAAATAGTTTGTATAAAATCAAATTATTATATTATGCGCTATTAAATAACGTCTCTTGTTAAATGAACAATAAATTTGTTCAACAAAACGCGAATAGAAGTATACGAATCCGAATGAAAAATCTAACAAATAAATTACCGAGAAGAGTCACCGAAAAAGTAATAATACATACGTGTTTATGTAGGTGTATGTATTGCGTATACAAATACGAATGAACGTTCCTTGTCTTCTTTAATGCATTCGTTGACCCGACGATCATCTCGTTACGCGAATTTTGTCTTACTTTACATACGTTATAAATTCAACCGTGTAACAAATTTGTGAAACCTTGACGAAGTTTCCGAAACGAACGACGAATATCAAGTTTTATTTATCTCCAATGTCTATCTCTGACCATATATATTTTTCGTTTAGAATTCATAAAAGTATTAAATTAGCGATGATTTTTGTATATGTAAAAAAAAGAAAAAAGAAAAGTAAATTAGAACGTATAAGTCGGACAATTCGAACAATTCCACGTATTTAACATGTAATTAAAGAAGACAACAACAACAACAAAATATGCTTACACGAACAAAATAAGAATGAACGTGTATGCGAAGATATAATTATTGTTTACTTTTAATTCTTTTTTTTTTTAAACGAAAAAAAAGAAAAAAAAGGAAAATTACAAATTACCAAGAGTTAGATGTTTGTCTATGCAAACAATATATAATTACAAACGCAAAGTTATAAATAAAACGGTCTTAGGATTGGAAAAAAAAAAAAAAAAAGAAAAAAAAAAAGAGATACGTATTAACGAGAGAGAGACTCGTTGTGTAATCGACTGATAATCAAAAAAATGTATCCATGGAAGAACGTTAGATAGGCGTGCGTTATATCACGCTCATCTAACGGGAATTACATCGACGTTTCTTTTTTTAAATTCCTCCTTTTTTTATTTTCTAGAATCCATATACGATTGCAAGTTTAATGGGTAACAAAAAAAGAAAAAAAAAAAAATTGAAAAAAAAAAGAAGAATCATTACTTTAAAATATAAGTAAGTGTAAGAATGGAGGACTCTCCTCTGTGTCAACATTTTCATTTGAACATCTTTCTGGTGTGTGTGTCCTTTTTAGACAGAATTTCTTCTATTTTTATGCTAAATGTATAAAGGATAAGGAAGAAAGTTGCTTTGAACGAAAACGAAATATCGTATCCGCCAACGCACCGAGACATAAGTCGAAACGAAAGTTTAAGCACTCTTATTCTTTTTTTTCTTTCTCTCTCTCTCTCTTTCGCTAAATAATATTTCAGTTAGCAATACTCGTTTGCTTGGTACGCGCCTTTTCCTTCGAGACATCATCCTTGCCTTCCTTGATTAATGAAGTTGGCCTCTTCTTCTTTTGACTTGCTAGTCCTGTTGGTTGCTATTGCTATTGTCATTTATGCTACTAAGAACAGACCGAAGAAATGATTCTGTTGCTTCTACGTAACAACACGAATTCTCTCCTCTTTTCATTTTTTTTACCTTCTACCTCGACAAAAACGGTTTTCCACATAATGCTGAATAAATAATTCTCTTCTTTTTCTCTCTCTTTCTTTCTTGAATGAATGAATGAATGAATGAATCTACGATCCATCCGGTGACATTCTATGAAAGATTATTTCAACTTTAATTGAAATATTCGTTGAATCGTAATAAAGAAGAAACAGAGAAATTTTTCGAAAAGGAAACAAATAAAATAGAACAAAATTTTATTCTTAAAGCTTCAAAGTGTTCAAATAATATTTTGTGTTTTCTTTTAAAAAAGATGAAATATCTCTTCTTCATTTTGTATACATAAATAGTTACGTTGATTTTGACTTGAAAAGTTATTTTAATAAATATAATTTCTGTTGATTATTGTTTATACAAAAATAGATAGTAGTATGTCTTAGAAGTGCATTAGTCTGTCATCTATCTGTTAACTCACACGATTTCTAGTAGTTTCTATTCTTACCACCGGTAAGGTAGATCCTAGAGATTCAACGAAGTAGACTATCTAGTTTTGCTATTGAGATAGTATTAGAAAATTCATAGATACTTGTACCAACAGAGCAGAGTATTCGATACTTTGATTAAAACACGTGATTGAAAACGTTTATAGGCGCGATGTTTGATTGAAATGACAGAATAAATAAATAAATTTAATGGGGAATCTCTTCTTCCATGAAATCTAATCTTAAGCTGATTTGTGAGCTGAGTTAATTTCCTTTAAATAGATTTTGTCGAAAAATAAATTAAAATAATACTAATAATAATAATGATAAAAGGAAAAGAAGATAAAAAATATTTTGGTTTTCTCGAATGTGACGTAATAGCAAAATCATAGGCGTATCTTTCGTAAATAAGTTTCTTCTTCGAAATGCACACACACGCAACAAGAAGCATACATTTATTATCAATTAACATGTCGTTACATAAATTTCTAACATTTACAGTAGAACTTACGCTTTCCTGCATGTAAATTTAGTAAAAGTGATAGGGGAATTGCAATGGATCGCGCCACTTTAGAAATTGATTGCGACAAATAATTAGATGTTCAAATTAGTATCTAATATAATCAATTATGTATCACATCTTGTTATCTCTAAACTCGCATATATTAATTTTCTCTCCTAAATGATCGCTCATTAATTAAAGATAATGAAATTAAAACGACTATATTTAAAACAATACATATACCCATATACATATAATATTATAAATAAATCAAAAAGAAGAAAAATAATAAATTGCATTTATCCGAAATCGTTAAGATTCGGCAAATAGTAAAGAACGGCAAAATGAATACAAACACGCGTTCACGTGCACACACACACAGACACACACACACACACACACACACACACAAACGTATTCTATATTCTAAGGTTCAGGCAAAATAGAATTGATGAATTGTCATAAGCTGTCGTATGAGAATCTTTAATCACCTACTGCGTAACGCTCGTTGAAGAAACTTTAAGTGAGTTCGACTCATTTGCCTTGTGAAAGTAAAAATGCCGCGTATTCAGGTTAGCCGGACGACCTCCGTTGTACAAATTATGGCAAGACTTATACCATTCAAAGATGGGACCTACTTAAACAGGGAGGTCTCTCTTTTTCCCTCCTTGTCATCTCGCAGCTACTTTATTTTTCTTGATTCTTTCAAAATCTTGGATGCTGCACAGTCTGCGTTCTCCCTGTTTACGTACCACCATCCAAAATATTTCAAAGAAAGGAAAATAAAGGAAAAGAAATGAAACCTAGTTAGCGATCTGTTTGCCAAGTGCATATACCTCGATCCCTTAGAGGAAGGATCAAAATTACGAAATATAAACTGACGGACATCGTAAATCTCATGGATAACGAACACCACCGATCATCATCCTTACAAAATTTCGAGTGACCTGTGTTGTTGTACGCTGCTGTGTTTCTTTTATTTTCTTTTTTCTCTCTTCCCTCTCGTAATTTATTCATTATTTTTTTGTAATTTTGTTTCATCGATATATCGTTAAAATATAAATAATCACGTTAATTATATGAATATTTTTGTTCAGGATTCTATCAGAATTACATATTGAAATTTCACATACACACAGTGTTTTTTTTTATAAATTATTATTATTATTATAA